CTCTGGGATCATGACCTGAGCCGAAGGCAGTCGCTTAACCAACTGAGCCACCCAGGCGCCCTCTAAATAGTCTTTTGATTCATTTCTGCACAAAGCATTTTTGAATTTATCAGTGAGATACTTGATGAATTTCTCTTTAAAGCTTTTACGTTCACCAAAGTGATCCAGTGGGAAGCTGCCCGTGTCTGGTGCTATGGCTGGAAGCTCTCGTACCCAAAATTCATGGCTGTTGACCTCATTGTATTTTTTTTTAATTAAACTCTATCCCTAACATGGGGCTCGAACTCACAACCCTAAGATCAAGAGTCACATGCTGTACCAACTAAGCCAGCCAGGTGCCCTATCATTGTATTTGTAGTACCTGATGTAATAACATGATGCCCAGAAAAGGTAGTTGTTGAATGACTGGCCAAATACAAAAATGAACAAGCATGAAAAGTTTGGAAAGGAGGGCGCCTGGGTGGTTGAGTCAGTGAAGTGTCTGCCTTCAGCTCAGGTCATGGTTCCAGGGTCTTGGGATCGAGCCCCGTGTCGGGCTCCCTGCTCAGTGGGGAGTCTGCTTCTCCCTCTACCCTTCCCTTCTGCTTGTGCTTTCTCTCTCTCTCTCTCAAATAAGTAAATAAAACCTTAAGAAAGAAAGAAAGAAGAAAGAAAGAAAGAAAGAAAGAAAGAAAGAAAGAAAGAAAGAAAGAAAGAAAAAGAAAAAGGAAGGAAGGAAGGAAGGAAGGAAGAAGGAAGGAAAGAAAGAAAGAAAAAGAAAAAAAAGAAAAGCTTGGAAAGGAAAGACCAAGTGATGATCTCAGGGCCAGGATCAAATAATTACCTCTGAGTTATCCAGCCCTAGCTTTTGTACTGAAGCAGAGTACCTCGAAAGGGCCCCTTTTCCCTTATGAATCTTCTGCAGTCTTAACTGACATTCATGATTTCTTCCTGCCCAGTGTCCACTCCCTTTTTCTACGAGGTCCCCAATTTCCTTTTGGGAAATCACCTCTCTTCATTTCGCGCCCTCTTTTTGGGAGGGTGAATTTTGGAAAGCAGCTCTCACCATGAAAGGGTGCCCCCCTTCAGCCCCTACACATATGGACCCATGTGACCTAAACTCAGCCAATCCCCCAGATGCTCTCTCCTGGGACTTTAACTCTTGGGCAAGTGACCCAAGATGGTAAATGTGGTTGGAGCTCATTTCTTTTGGTGGTGGTATACTCATCAGAGAGTTTCTGCCATAAACCCTCCTGAGGCCCTTGCTGCCCAGCCTTCTGGAGAACCTCTTACTCCTGACTTTGTCTAAGCCCAGTCCTCCAGCCTTCAGCCACGTCACTGAGCTGCTAATAACCTTCCAACGAATGAACTCGCATCCATGCAACCAAGACCCCTGATGGAGCAGACTGCCTGCTCCTCTGGCTAAATAGCCTGCTTTCTCTCACTTCATTTCTCTTCCTAGGCAGTCTTGCATGGCTCTTTAAAAATGCTATACTGGGGGTGCCTGGCTGGCTCAGTTGGTAAAGCAGGCAACTCTTGATCTCAGGGTCGTGAGTTCAAGCCCCATGTTGGCCGTAGAGTTTACTTAAAAAAATTTTTTTTAATGCTATATTGGAAGGCTCCTCCTTCAATACTCCTTCCAAGTGATTGTTACTTGTTCTATTCATGACCATGTTCTAGCTCCTTGCAGCAGACAATGATAGGGCTGTCCTTTCTTCTCTGCAGCAATTCCTCCTTCTGTGTAACTGATTCCTCACCTCCAGCAGCTTGACCTTGTGCTTTGACCACCATGGATTGGGTGAGCATTAGACATCTCACCCTAAGCTAAGGCCAATCAGATCTCTCTTTCCTGGGAGTTTATAAATTTGACCTAAGGAATATGAAAGTAGTAGGTGTCTGAGAGCTAAGCCTCACAAGTGGGTCGGTGCTAGGAGGATGGCCTATAATTGTCTGTTGCCAAGGTTTGGGATTTTTGAATCCCCATGCTTCCCTATCTTGAGGAGCATTGCAATAATTTTGCCTTTCTTGATAAAGTTTTCTAATATTGACCTATGTTAGCTGCAATCACAAGAATCTCTTTTTTTAATTTTAAAAGATTTTATTTATTTATTTGACAGAGAGAGACACGGCGAGAGAGGGAACACAAGCAGGGGGAGTGGGAGAGGGAGAAGCAGGCTTCCCGCTGAGCAGAGAGCCCAATGCGGGGCTCGATCCAGGACCCTGGGATCATGACCTGAGCTGAAGGCAGATGCTTAACCGACTGAGCCACCCAGGCGCCCCCAATCACAAGAATCTTAACACAGTCTCCATATGATAGAAGGCTCCTTGGAGGCAGGGCCAGATTTTCATTCATTTGTCCATGTGTTATTCATCAGACATTTATTATTTACTATGTGCTAGGTGCTAGGAACCCAAAGGTGAACTAGACAATCCCCTGACCTCAAGGAGCTTGTTCTCTGTCTAGTTGGGGGTATAAGTATATTCATTCATTCATTCCTTCATTCATTTGACAAATAATTCATTTCCTCAACAAATGATTGCCAGCACGTATTAACTATTATGTGACAGGCTCTGGTACTGAGTGGTTTTTTTTTTCATTCTTACAACAACTCTTTGAGATATGTTTCATTTTACAGACGAAGGAACTGAGTCACAGTGAAGGAAGTCAAGCAGCTTTGCCAAAGTCACAAGGCTTTTAAATGCTCGAGCTGAGTCTCCAATTCTGTGTGACCATGGAGCTCTTGCTCTGAACCACTCTGTAATCTCACAATCAAAAAAAAAAAAAAAAGAATCCCAAAGTAATGTGACACAAGCTTGCTAACACAGGTGGTATAAAGTTTACAGTGAAGAAAGAGACTAATTTTGTGAGGCGGTTGGAATTCAAGAAAGGTTTTACAGTTGAAATGGTTTGAGCAATCTTGAAGGAAGACTTGTAACCCCAGTGCCTAGCCCAGAACTTTGCATGTGAACTCAGTAAAATGGTGATGAGGTGGCTTATGCATCTGGAAGGAGCTGTTTTCCCGTTTGCATGGAGCCTGGGGTGTTACCTACTGCCTTCTGCGGCATCCCTTTTGTGATTTAGCAATGGTGTGCAAGGTTATCAGATCATTTGTGTATTATATCACTGATGCTCACAAAAACCCTGTGAGGTAAGTAGTACAGGTATTAATTTTGTAAGATGGGTGAGGAAACCAAGACTGATGTTGCATGACTCATCTAAGACCACACGTGGTGAGTAAGTGGCAGAACAAGACAAGGACCTGTGTCCTGCCCTCCAGAGAGAGGGACTGGCTAACAGGATTCCTCTAATCTAGTCACAGTCCTCACTCTTAGGCTCTAATTTAAGGCTTTGCGTTTTCCAGCCTCTATACATGAGCTTCTGAAGGTTCCCTCTCCTGGGAACACCCTCCCCTTACTTCTCATCCCCAGTTCTGCAAATACTGCTCATCCTTCAAGATTAAGCTCATCTGGGCGCCTGAGTGGCTCAGTTGGTTAAGCGACTGCCTTCGGCTCAGGTCATGATCCTGGAGTCCCAGGAGTCCCGCATCGGGCTCCCTGCTGCTCAGCGGGGAGTCTGCTTCTCCCTCTGACCCTCCCCCCTCTCATGTGCTCTCTCTCTCTCTCATTCTTGCTCTTTCAAATAAATAAATAAATAAAATCTTTAAAAAAAAAAAAGATTAAGCTCATCCCACATCTTCTTCCCAAGTCTTTTCCAAATTCCAAATTGGAAAGCTTCAATTAAATCCCTTAGCCCTGCTTCCAACCAGATTCCTGCCCTAAAAAAGTTTTTATATGGAAAGTCTAGACTTGTCACTGTAGTCCAGCCTTCCTCATCAGAACTCCAGCCTTCTGTAGGCCTTTTATTGCTGTTTGTGTTATACAGGTACACCTTTTCTCTCCCTAGAATGTAAGCACCACGTGGTGCAAGCCACATGTTTTTCTTTTAGCCTTATACTTCTATCACAAACTATGTTCTTTAGGATCATAGTGCTTACTGACTCAAAGAAGATATCTGCTCTGTCCACCTGCTGTTAGATTGTTCAGCTCCTAAACCAGGAGAAACTGATAGTTGTCAATCTCTTTCCTAAAGAACTAAATTCCTTATGGGTAACCAAAAGTCTCTTGTTATGATGTAGATCCATTTCCTTTCTAACTCCTATGGGAAGATAGAACTCAAGGGGTGCAAAATAGTATTTATTATGCTCCTACCATGGGCCAGGCATTATGATAGGTGTACAATGTTTTATTAACGTATTTCTTGCAATGAGCCTATGAGACAGAAAGTATTAACTCTATTTTAGAGAATTTGGCTCCCAAAGTGGCTAAATACTCAAGGCTTAGCTTTCAGTTATAGGCACAGTTGGAATGAGACCAGGTTTCCTGACTCTTAAGGAGGTACTCTTTAAAGGAAATTGTACAGAAAACCCAGATTAGGGGCAGAGGTGAAGGGCAAAGAGACATCTGAATTATTAAGAAATGCGTTAATGTACGCAGCATATTGAAAAATGGTGAGAGAATGCTAAAAATGCTAAAAATGCTATCCTATAGATACCCATATAAGAATTCGCTGATTTTAAATCAAGGAGCCCTGTCTCCGCCTGGGATTCACATCCCAGAACTTCCTCGGGGGCAAAGGCAGAGACGCCGCTACCTGTCCAAGAGAACCCGGGAACCTGCTCTGGACACTGCGGCTCAGCCCCCTTCCTTTCCTCACATTCTAATTGGCCTACTTCTTCCTGGGCCCCGCCTCCTCTGCGTGGACCAAGAAGCCGCCAAACCCTACCCAGGCCCCTCCTCGACACCCGCGAGCCGCCTTTGCTGTCGCCCGTGATTGGCCAGACAGCAGCATGGGGTCCGCCTCCTCCTCCTCCAGATGGCCAGCAGTCCTCAGGCTCGTGTCCCTCCTGTCCGGCCCGCCCCGTTTCCCCTTGGCCGCCGGGCCTTGGGCGAGCCACCGCCTCCGCGGGAGTGGGCCCCGCCCCTTGTGACTGCCAGGCCGGTAATTGGCGGCGGCGTGCAGCCATTTCCGGTTTCGGGGAGGTGGGTGGTGTGCGGAGCGCGACTGGAGCTGCCGCCGCCTGGGCTGCCGCCTACAGAACCTGCCTTGCGCCTGGTGCTGTCGGGACGATGCGGCCGGGGCCCGGAGGCTGCTGCTGCCGTCGCCCGGTGAGGGCGAACGGCTGCGTGGCGAACGGGGAAGTGAGGAACGGGTACGTGAGGAGCAGCGCTGCTGTCGCCGCAGCCGCCGCCGGCCAGGTATGGTGGGACCGGGCGGCCGGGCTGAGCCGGAGGTGGCGGGCCGGGACCCCGCGAGCTGAGCCTGTGCGGACCCGGCAGAGGGGGCGGCCAGGCGGGGCGAGGTCGCGGTGACCGTCCGCGGGGGCGGGCGCCGGGCACGGCTCAGGTGTGCTGGCGGCGGTGTCCTGGCGCTGACCGGGCCTGCCCCAAGCGGGAGGCTCAAGGGCGGCGTAGGGGCTCCCTCGTGTCTCCGCGTCTGAGGTCTTCCTCCTTTCCTTCCGAGGTTTGGGCTCTGGCTCAAAGTCCGAGTACCTTCCTCCCCCTGATCTGGCCAGAAGTATGGGCTGGCCCCCCGGGGAAGCAGGGAGTGACCCCGCGGACCCCGGGAGGATCCACTCGAGGGCTCTTGGTTCTTTCTCTCGAGGCTCCCTCCTCATGTCCTCGAGGTGGTTGCTTCCTCTTAGAGTCCTGAAACCCTCCAAGGAAAACAGCCCTCGGGGTCCTCAGGAGGCAAAAAAAAAAGTTAGGAGGTGGTACCAGGCGGAAACACACCCAAGTCTCTTCCTACCACGTACCTACCCCTTCTGCAAACAAGGCACTGGACCACACATCTGGCAGTGAACCTGGGCTGGTGCCTCACTAGCATTATGCTCTTACCCTGTGGTAAGACCCCATCCCGGGCTCCAGGTTGAGTTAGGTGGGCCCTGTGAGCAAGAGTGCGATCGCACAAGGGGCTTGTTGAACCCAGGTGGTGACTTGTGATGAGTCTCCATAGGAGTTAACCGAGGCTGAATCACCAACCAAGTCCAGGGAGTTCTGCAATATTTTGAAAAAGTTTTGGATTGAAGACAGTAATTAGTAACGGCCTTCCAGTGCTCTGGATTGACAGATTCTCCTGAAATGTATTTTTAAAGACGAGCTGGTTAAAAAGACTGAAAGATCAGTATTGCTGGAAGAGTGTTGTGAAATTTGCAATTGACTTTCATATTTATAAATCCCGTTTAGATATTAAGGAAAACGTTTTCTTGCCCCAAAGTCATCTGTTCCCAATAGCAGTAGTGTGACTATTGTGATTTAATTTGGCTTTAATATAGATTTTTAGCAGCCTCCTCCCCCAGTCAGTAGTTGGGATAGATAGGCCTGTTACTGTTTGGTGTGAAACAGAAAATAAAGCATTCCTCCGAGTCATGTTGACATAGCAAGGCTATGAGAGTTGGGAAAACACATACAAGAGCCTTGACCTCCCCTGAAGGTGGAAGGCACCATAATGCACATATTCCAAAGATTTATCTTCATTTTTGGCTGTGTAAGGGTTTTTTTTTTTTTAGCAACATAAATGGTTAATAAGACAAAATTGCGGTGGTAGAGAATGTAACAGAGAAACCTGACGGATGGGAGTCAGAAAATACTTTGCAGATGGAATGGATTATGATTTTTTAAGAGGGAAAAGGAAGTCAAGAGAAAGTTGTTCAGAGGCGTTTTGTGTTTAGGTGCTCTTTTCACTTAACGTAGGAGTTATGTTCTGATTTAATAATAAATTTCTCCCATAGTCTCTAATAATCTAGCATTTGTAGGTATGCTATTTCTTCAGAGGTTGCCCACCAAGAGTAAAATGAAGACATATCAAGTTGCTAAAGTGAAATTTAAAAATCTGTATGACTCTAACATCTGGCTTTTTCAAGTATATTTTAGTGAAAAATTCCACTCAAGGCACTACGGTGGCATCTGGAAGACTGGTCTACTGGAATGCCTGAAAAAAGTGGTCAGGGCTCCAGTATCCCTTCTAGAAAACCCTTTGTCACAAGTGTTTTTATTTTTTTATTTTTTAAAGATTTTATTTATTTATTTGACAGAGAGAGAGAGCACAAGTAGGCAGAGAGGCAGGCAGAGAGAGAGGGAGAAGCAGGCTATCCACTGAGCAGGGAGCCCGACGTGGGGCTCGATCTCAGGACTCTGGGATCATGACCTGAGCTGAAGGCAGCCGCTTAACGGACTGAGCCACCCAGGCGCCCCCTTGTCACAAGTGTTTTTAAAACAAAAACTTTAGGGATATAGCTTTGTACATGAATTTGAGGAATATTATCTATTAGTTTTTGTTTTTTCTTAAGCAAAAGAGAGGCTTTTGGTAACTTCATGGGAGCAAGAGTTTCTTTAAAATAATTTAAATTGTTTTTGTTTCAATTAAAGTGATAGTGCACCAACCCCTATTTATTTCCCCCTACTTTCTGGGGGAAATGTTGCCAATTATGCCATAAAAATACACATAAGATGTTAAGTGTGCAGGTGTGTGTCATCTTTTAAGTAAAATATAAATTTAGAGTTTTTAAACCCGGGATATACATTCATTTCCTCACATATCCCAACATTTGTCTTTTAATGAACAGGAGAGAAGTTAGAAACTTCTAGGATTCTTTTACACTCTCAAGAGTTTCAGTGTTTGAAGGGATGAATATATGTGTTTGCCCTTTGTTAGATTTGGGTTTAGAGTTTGAGTAAATAGATCCTGTGGTAGAAAGGGCATATAAAACAAACGTTTCTGTTTGTTTTTGTTTTCTGATTTTTTTCTCCAATTATTTTCTTATTGTGGTAAAACACACATAAAATTTACCATCTTAACCATTTGTAAGCATACAATTAAGTGGCATTAAATGCATTCCTCATGTTGTGCAACCATCACCACCATCCACTGCCATAACTTTTTTCATCTTGCAGAACTGAAACTCTGTACCCATTAAATAGTAACTCCCCATTCTCTCCTCCCAGTCCTTGGCAACCACCATTCTGCTTTCTTTCTCTATGAATTTGACTGCTGTAAGTACCTCAGATAAATGAAATCATACTATATTTTTCTTTTTGTGTCTGGCTTATTTCGTGTAGCATAATGTCCTCATGGTTCATCCATGTAGCAGTGTGTATCAGAATTCCCCCCCCCCTTTTTTTAAGATTTTATTTATTAGAGAGAGAGAGAAAACAAGCCATCATGAGCAGGGGGGCAGGGACAGAGGCAGAGGGAGAAGCAGACTCCCGCTGAGCAGGGAGCCCAGTGTGGGATTCTATCTCACGACCCTGGGATCATGACCTGAGCTGAAGGCAAATGCTTAACCGACTGAGCCACCCAAGTGCCCCAAAATTTCCTTCCTTTTTAAGGCTGAATAATATTCCATTGCAACATACCACATTTTGCTTAGCTATTTATTTGTCATTGGACACTTGGGTTGCTTTCAGGTTTTAGGTATTGTGAATAATGCTGCTTTGAACATGGGTGTACAAATATCTCTTCAAGACCCTGCTTTCAGTTTTCTTGGATATATACCCAGAAGTGGAATTGCTGGATCACATGATAATTCTATTTTTAATTTTTTGAGGAAATGCCACATTGTTTTCCACAGCAGCTACACCATTTTACATTCCCATCAACAGTGCACAAGGCTTCCTATTTCTCCACATCCTCACCAACAATTGTTATTTTCTGTTTGTTTGGGGTTTTTTTTGCATAGTAGCTGTGAGATAATAGGGGGAAAGTATGCATATATGTTTCTGCTTCTAGTTCCTGCCACAGAACTCCTAAAACTTGTGTAATTTCCTAAGTGATAGGAATACTAGGAGCATCTTTTGTTCTAATATTTAGTCTTTGACCCTTATTCCTGACAGAGAGTTCCTAAATCCCTTGGAATTTCCCTGGTGATAGGTGTGTCTTTTGTTCTAATGAGGTGACTCTGGGTGGGCTCCTGGATGGGGGCTGCTCACCCGAAAGACCAAGCCATGATTAGAAGCTTAGAATTTTCAGCCCCTCCCCACATTCTCCAGAGAGGGGGTTAAGGGGCAGGAAATGGAGTTAATGATCGCTCAGGTCGATGTGGTGAAGCTTCCATAAAAATCCCCAAAGTACCAGGTTGAGAGAGCTTCCGGGTTGCTGAACATGTGGAGGTGCTAGGAGAGTGGCGTGCCCCTTCCCACACACCTTCTGCGCTGTGCACCTCTTCTACCTGGATGTTCATCTGTATCCTTTATTGTATCTTTTTATAATAAACTAGGAAACAGTAGGTAAACAGTTTTCCTGAGTTCCGTGAGCCATTGTAGCAAATTATCAACCAGAGGAGGAAGTGGTGGAAACCTGATTTATAGCTTATGGGTTAGGAGCACAGGGGACGCCTGGACTTGTGACAGGCATCTGAGGTGGGGGTGGGGCAGGGAGCAGTCTCCTGGGACCAAGCCTGCGGGATCTGACAGTCTTAGGTGTCAGAAGTGCCGTGAGGGTGGGTAGCTCTGTGAGAGTGGAGGAGAAGCATCACAGGAGTATTGGGTTTTGTATTTACAGCAGCCGTGGGTAGACATTACTATTTTTTAAGGATGACAGTAGACACAGAGTTGTCACAAGGAAGAGGAGCAATAAAGCAGTAATTTTTCCTCCCTTGCCTTTCAGAGAGGAGAGGGGAGGAGGGTCAGCCTTTATTTGAGGTAAAGGGCGGCAAATATCACTAGGGAAACTGAAAGAGTTAGAATTGGAAGCTTTGGCAAAATTAGAGCTGGAAGAACCCTTTAGGGGTTTATGTAATTCAGTCCCTTTATCTTTTTGTAGGACTTTATTAAAACTCATCTTGACAGATGATTCTATCCTATTTTTAAAGACCTCTAGAGGATTTGCAGGAATTTTTTTCAGCAGCATGTTGCAGCGTTCAGTGATTTTAATTACAAGAGTCTTTTACTGTGGATTTAACGTTTGATTAAATAAGTGCCATATTTTGGTTGCACCTGAAATATAATACTGTCTGTTTTTACTTTTAGAGCTCCTTGTTTACAGCACTTTTTTTAGATCTTCCATTTCTTTATAGAACTTTTGAGATTTAGACATGCGTTTTACCTTCCTTAATTAGTTAACAAGTATTGAAGGAAAGAAACTATCTGCCTTTGAGACTGTTTTGAGCCTAACTTTTTCCCTTTAGAAGTAGTTTTAATGAGATATTAGAATGATGACAGCCTTCTAGCTGCCAAAATAAGTAAGATTCTAAGGAGGACTT